AGTGACCAGCTAAATGACTCACTTGTATTTGGTTGGTTCCTAAACAAATCAGTGTGTTTTAAGGAATTATTTGAATGAACGATTCAAATGATTCATAAAAACAATCACTGCTGTATTGGTGTAACAATGCAACTTGCAGTCCCTGATAATATGTATTTGTATATTTATATATGTAGGCACAGATAGATAGATAGATAGATAGATAGATAGACCTAAAATAGCCAGGTAATTAGATAAAACATAGAAGAAGAGAAAGATCAAAATAAAGAGAAAAGAGAAAAGGGTAGAAAAGGAAACCTCATCTGTAGATAAATTCAGCTGAAATGACAAAGATTTGCTTAGCCAGCTAAGTAAAAGACAATAAGCCTTTGAAAGCTGTCATCACCACTGGTCTTATTCCAGGAGGAGTGATCTCTCAGCACGATGTACACACAGGGAAGTGTGTACTGATCTAATGCTAATCTTAACACTTCAGTTTATAGGTGCATCATAAAGCTAGAGGGTCTGGAGTGTGTAAGGGCCTCTGATGTGCCCTTGTTACAAAACCACCTTATCTGCTGAAATGGGGGGACATCTACCATCTATCAGTGATGAAATCAAACACGGGAAGGATACAGATAATTGAAATTCTATCCTCCCCCAAGGCCCGTGAACAAAACTGCTGAGAGATCTCTATCATGTGCCTGTATCGTCTGGGGTTCAAGCAAGGGCTGCCGGCCCAGACCAGAGGCTCATGAGAGCAGATACAGGGTGAGTAAAGGAGACGCTGCTGACAGCATACAAATTAGTCTTAGGCAGTACACACAGTACAAGTGACCTCCTGGACTTAAACTAGGAAAGAAAATGAAATGTGACTCCTATAGAAACAGTGAGGCTTCATTCAACATTATTGAATTTTATAATGAACTGGCTGAGCATTGGAAGGCTGAGTGGTGAGCAGTTTGCTGAAGATGTGAGCCACGATAAGTAAGCCCTTTAGATGCACCAAACTTGGATGGAAAAACTCCAAACTAGGAAGGTAGCCTTTTAGAAGACTAAAGATTTTAAATCTAATTCTGGATTTGATTGCTTTCCACTGTAAACACTGCATACTTGGACGCTTTATAAGGTATTTTGTGAATAAACAAAAATTGAATAAGTTTTGTCATTATAGCCAGCAGCTACCCTCAGTGATACGCAGGAGTAGAAAAGGATGTAAAATTGACAGCAAATTTAATAATAATATACCCAACGTATGGCTGTGATTTATAAGTGAAGGAAATAAATGTGGAATTCTGGTGAGACAGAATGCATTATATTATTACAACAGAGTATAACGTCCTTTTATATGGCTTTAGTTAACCTTTAAGGACATTTAGAATGACTTTAGAGAACAGAATGACAATTTTCCTTGCAACAAAATCACCAGCATGACCAAGCATAATGTTTTAGGTAACATTATAATTAACATTTGGACATGAACCTGATAAAGGACATATACTATGTCCCTGCTTTTACAGTCATATAGCAGAGTCAGAAAATCAAGCTACTCCATACACATAAGAAATAATGCACAAAGGAGATTTGATTTTCTTCATGATAGAAAAACTGTGATTTCTTAACGAGACATATGCTACAGCCATTACCTTCGATCCCCTGCTCCTCTGATATCACATTAGCTGAATAAGTACCCATAAAACTACTAGTCAAGCTTTCTGCAAATAAAGTAGGGCAGCTCAAAGAGATTAAAATGTTTTTATTGATTTTTAGTGATGATATCTTAACCCCCAAATTCATATGTGAGCATCCAATTTTTGCATTTTTTTTCATTAAATTATCTTTTTCATCTGACACTCCAGAAAAATATCAATTTAAGAGTCTTTGATGGTTTTAACTCATTGTTTTCAGCCTTAGTATGTTATTTTGTATAAAATGAGCATTAATGTGTATATATGTGGGTCGTTTTTTCATTTTACATGCAATATCTATATACCTACAGTATATGCAATGATTTTATGTTCCGATTTATATTTAGTGAGTAAACAGGTAAATGTCATGCTGTCATATAGCAATCATTGAATTCCATTTTGTCTAACTTACTGTATGAATTTTATTGGGAAAGGTTTATCTTAAAATGACTAAAGCACGACATGGTGCATGAATCTATGGAGAAGCTTTTTAATAAAGCCTCTGATAACACAATCTTTACCATTCACTATACCTCTCAATGGTGTTAGTGCCATCTTAAATTCAGTCAACAAAAAAAGAATTATACCCTTCCTTCGACCCTGCTCTTGATAGATGTCCTTCATGACCATGATTCACATGGATGATTCTGAGTGACTAAAGTGACTGACTGCAATTACTCTATTGAACCTAAAGGACCTCAACAGTGACTCAACTCTGAGATTCGTTGTAATGACCCAAATACCACCAGCTCTGACTCACTCAGCTGAACCTGCATGCATCGTGAAGATCAGAGCTTTGATTTTTGCAATGACAAACAGCAGGTATTCCAATGCAATGTTATTGATCAAAGCTTTTACATCTATAATTGCCTCTTAGACCTCATGTGAGGCTGCCTAGCATTGAATAACAATACTGTTGGACAAATGCATGCAGTTTTTCAATGAGGTCTATTGTGTGCTCATCTGACTAAGCCATATTGCATAACCAAATCTTGGACTATATGCTGCTACATTGACAATGTCAGATAGATTTTGATTTGATTTTACACATAACACATGCTAAATGCCCCAAATTACATTTACAAATTACATACTATACTTTTTTCTCTTTTCTCATACTGTGAATATAACACTAGTCAGGTAAAAATCCATACAGACAACAGTCTTTGTTTGATTATTGAAATCTTTTAGCTTTTTCTAATTTATTTAAAAGTGCGCAATAGCATATATTGATTGTCTGAATAAGAATGGACAAAAGAACAGTTGTTTTTCCTTTTGTTACTTACTATAGCAGTAACTAAAGCTGTTAACTGTGGTTTCAGAGCATGTTGTAAATAGTCAGGGATCAGCTTGGATCAATAACTGAGGGAAATTGGATGGGACCTCTGAAAGATACCTCTCTTAACAAGGAAACATTTTTATGGTAGGGTGGCTACCACTGGTTTCTTTTGTTTCTTCCAGTCTTAGGTCAGTTGTATGCAAATAAAACTCTCAGGATAATTTCTAAACACGTTAGATTTGTTGCATTTCATTTAGACTTGTTTGTAAAAAAAACTGCATAATAAAAGAACGCGCGTAAAACTACGATGAAGTCCTTTTTTACTTAATCGTATTTGATTATTTTACTATGATAAAATACGAGGACGTATTTGCATAATCAGGCGACATGACAAATACGTTCGTTGTTCTTTTTCGACCTTCTGAACAGTGGATCCCGTGTTCGCATCTGTTACACCAAAAGTCACCTTGGAAAATGAATGAGTGGCGCGAGTGATGGCGCAAATGGAACTGAATATCCTATGGCTGCAAGACTGCACACAACCGCTGACTTCCAACGTGAACGAGTCACATGACCGTACTACGGCAATGACACCGCTTTATTTTGGTCCATCAGCCTCCTGAAGAATATCTATAATTAGAGCTCGTCTCGTGCGGCCGAATTTGACCGAACGTGCACGAATCCCTTCGGGTTTGGGATCTCGCGACAGGACCTCTCGAGGTTGAAAAACAGCCTGAAAATGAAGGCTGTGATTTTATAGGTGTCCCATGAAGGATATGGTGATTTTTACAAATGTTTCCTCACTTTAAGAGTAATATCACGTGACATATGCATGGGGTTTCAGTGCAATGTTTGCTGATAATGGCATGACATAAAAGGGGCATAATGATGCATAACGTTTTTCTCAAGGTGAGACCCGGACACCTCATGCTCTTACCTTCAGCTGTCGCCTTGCCATGTCGGTCGGCTGCTTGGCGTTGAAAGGATAGGCGATGCATCGCATTACAAAGACATAGAGTTGCAGCTTCTTCTTTCGTTCCTCTTCTTCCTTCTGCAGTTTCTCCACGTCCTCCTTTTCCTGCTCGCTGGCGGCCGACGGGCTCGGGCTGGATGGTCGCGCACTGGAGCCTCGGCTGGCGGGCTGGAGCCTATCGGAGCTCTCGCTGGTCCTGCTGGGGGAGATGCGAGAGGAACCGGACTGAGGAGCCATCACCTCTCGGCTTTCCTCCTCCACTATCCCGTCCGATTCCTCTTCGCTGGAGGATGGATCCAACATTTTTGCTTTCGGACAGCGCTCGCCTAACCGTACAAGCGAATTAAACTAATTAATTGGCTGTATTCTAGTCAAAATATGATGATTTAATGTGACTGAATCAACCTGAATACATTAGGTCATACCAATGAATGTGATTTTAAAGGTCAGAAAGCCAAAATAAATAAATGTGTTTTTTTAAGTAGACATGGCATTCTCCAGTAGTTTGTGCACTGTTGGCTAAATATTGATAAATCTTTTACATTTTTACACCTTAAAGAGACATACAGTACTCACAAGCTTTGCCATTTAGCAGAAGCTTTTGTGTCCACTGCGACTTCCCTTGCTATGGCAACAGTCCCTCTGGAGCAACCTGGGGTTAAGTGTTTGACTCAAGGGTACATTGGTAGGGGGTTTTGTTTGTAATTTTCTTCCTACTTAAAGTAACATGTCTTAAGGTCATTTTGGGGTCACTTCTGAAGGAGCAGCAAGTCACAGAGCAACAAAATCACAATTGTTTCCAATTGTAGCCACAAGGGACAAAATCAATAAAGAGCAGACAAAGAAAGAAAATCAGATAAATTACGGTGTCAGCTGATAAAAGGATAGTCTGATTTATGATGAGCCCCACCCTTATGTGAGGCCTTCTCTTTCTCAACGATGACATGTTAAACAACATTCAAGGTAAAAGATTTAGGATCTGTTGCCCTCAAAAACAAATACATTTCAGTTAGTTTTTGACAGCACTGAATTTTTAACATTATTAGCTTACATTCTTGCCGTATCGTGACTGTGACAAATTTTATCATCACACACACAAGAATTAATCCTTGACTATGTACAGTCATATAGCCATATATCCAAAGGCTTATGTGAATTTTCCTGATGGATAGGGGAAATGTACTCCAATTATGTTGACTGCATTTTGATCATTTATCAGGATTGTTCACCCGCTATGAAATCAAAAGTAAAGCTATAGTGAAGATAGACAGTATTTAACATGAAAATTGCATTCTAATTATACAGAGAGACTTCTGGACCGGACTTTGGACAGTTCAATTTAATAAAAGAAATAATAATGTTCATAATTATAATGTAATAATCAGTGTTAATTTATATATATATGGGTGTGTGTCATTTACATTTTAGAGCAAAGCATCCAATTTACCACAGACCTTGTTTTACTCATAAAAATCTAAAATCCCATTATAAAAACCCATAGGAAATAGTTTTGCAGGTTTTGACATCACAACTGCAGCACTCTATAATAATGATACAATAAAAAAGGTTTCAAGCATGTGTAACACCCCTGTGGACTGTTTGTTGTGGTTTCTTCCCCTTTTGTTGGTTTAGCCCGTTCAATCATTAGTTAATTATCCTCAGTGTGCTCACCTGTCTGCCCCTCGTTATCTGCCCTATAAGTTCCTGTCTCGTGTATTCTAGTGTGGTCGGTTATTGTGAATGTTACCGCCGTGACAGCATGAGAAAGTTACCATCATAAAAACTTTGTTTCTGAAACTACTCAGTATTGATTATGATGGAATCATCTCACTGTGTTCATCTATATGTTTTCCTGTCAATGGATTGCTACAAATACATTGAAACATCACTCTGATCATTTAGTGAAAATATGATTTAGAAACTGTAACAAATTCATTATATTCTTTATGTATAATAATTGTTATCATCACACGCAGCCCTGTGGCAAGACTTAGTCCCTTGCTATGTGTATTCATATATTGAACGGCTTATGGGAGTTTTCCTGATGGATGGGGAAATGTACTCCAATCATGCTGACTGCATTTTGATCATTTATAAAGATTATTCACCCACTATGAAATAAAAGTAAAGCAACAGATAGACAGTATTTGACATTATACAAAGACTTCTGGACTCCTCATTCTAAGAAAAAGGATAGAAAAAATATTCTTCACAAAAATTGCCATAACAGAAATACCCTTCAACTGTAACACGCACTTTGTTCTACGGGGCTTGCCGGAGAATTAGCAGTTAAGACTATTCATATAAAGTCCCAATGGTTCAGACTATCACACCAGATGTTCAGTAAAAGCGGTGCTCTCCAAAAACACATCTGCATGTTCACACATTTGCTAAATATAGCTAAGTGTTTGGTTTATTTCAGAATAATCACACTCTTCGAATGTGTCGATGAACCTAACCGATATGAAAATGAAAAATTTGTCCTGCTGCAACAAAAGCAATTATACAGTACACACAACAACCCACTTTTTTATGTTATCCTACCAAACAAACACTCACTCACTCACTGAATACTATACATATAGAAATACACTTTTTTAAAACTGATCTCAAACCAAATGACTGCATTATGTCTGGTTCAGTCAAGAAACTGGATCATCAGATTATACAGGCCATGAACGATTCTCTTTGGAGGTCTGCTTCCATGTACTGTAGCACAGATGTTCAGTGTTCCAGACCACAGGAACCACCACTGGTGTTTCCAGAACAGTGCTGCTATGCTAGCACTTCCTGTTTGGGCTTTCTCCGGTGAATGTTGGCACAAATGGTTCTCCATTTGTCTCCATCTGCAGCAGCACTCTCTCTGCATCTTAACCATCAATAATTGATTGAGTTTCTCTCTGCCGTGCTTTACTTCAGCTTCAATGTATGTTTCGCCATCACTCTGTTGGAGGAACTTGTGTCGTAAAGCTAACATTGGTTTGCAGTGTTTTTGGCTTGGAGGAAGAATCCATTTCTGGTAATGTTTTGTATTCATTTGTTTTCACAGCATTTATATTATTCCTAAAGTTAGATCATGCTTCTTCAAATATATTGTCTAATGCATTAAACATTTTGAAGACCACACCCTGTATATGTACAGTAATAGGCTATAAATAATATAAAGTAAAATAGGGTGCTTTTGGTGTTTGTGTGCATGTTACATGTTTTCAAATTAGATATCAAAATCTGACAATATGTCAGTGATTAATTCACAATATGGGCAGAAGCAGTTCATTTTATTCTCTCCATATCTTCTCCTGCGGAAAAAGACAAAATGGGTTATTAACAGAATGATTTGAGCTGGCCTTGACCCTATCATTTTCACATCCTCGCTCAGTTCCTTTCCCCCTCAGTCTACTTTGACTTTAATACCTTAGCCATGACAGTTCCATAATTGCTGTATTTCAGGATTTTTACCAGTCGTTTTTTCTCTCTCTTACTCTCTGTACATAAAATAATGCTGAACACTCAGAAGTGTCAAGCCAAATCAAACCGAGGAGCCACATGACCCATCATATTATATATATATATATATATGTATATGTACTGTATATATATATATATATATATATACACACAAATACAGAGAGAGACAATTAATTTATTGTGAAAATAAGCCTTTTTATTAAATAATATATTAATAGAAAACAGCAATACAAATAATAAAAT